GCCACCAGCTTTACCTGTGGACGTTTGTCTGTAAGGCTCCTGGTCAGACAGGCTGCTGGAGAGGCTGGCCTCTGACCAAAGGAGCTCTCTTCTCACAGCCTACATGCAAGGCACAGAGGGAAAATAACTCTCCTATGAGCCCTCTGCCAGAGGACCTTATCCAGCACCCTGGGCAGTCGGCACAGAGATGCCTGTTGCTCTGTCTGGCTCTGCAGCAAGTGCTGGCCAAAGCAGGGGTGACAAAGGAGGGGTCAGCTGTGCTGGTAGGAAGCTCTGCGGGTGCTGCCGGTGCTCCCCAGGGGCTCCACGGGCTGCTCCATGCACTGCACCAATGTGTAAGAGGGAACTTTTCTCACCCAACTGTAGACCTACTGCCAAGACCATAGTCTTTGTCCAAATCCTTAGAGCAGGAAAACTGCAAGAGCTCTTTGGTGCCAATCACTGAACTAAGGTTTTTGTAAAATAGTGATATGACACAGGTACAGTTTTCAAATCTCCCATGTTTTGTATGTGCAGAACTATTTTTATAAGCAGCATAGTCTCTCTGAAAACTACATTACAATGCTCATGTGATACAGAGAAGGAGAACCCCAAAATGAGCTGCTTTATAGATGTCTTCTGTGTATGACCTTACCTTAAGATAACTGAGCACCCATCTGCTGGGGTCTCCAGCACCTGAAGTTTGTGGCGTCTGGTCCATGTCCCTATTTGACATCTGTGTTCTTTCAGCTTTGGCTTCACATCTGTCACATTTACATGTGTTTGCTATGTCCTCTTAGACTTGTTACTTTGATTTCTTTGATATTTCTTTTTCACTGCAGGTAATCTTTGGTACCTCATGTCTCTCAAGAAGTCCACCTCCACACCAGTCACATTTATCCTTACGGGCATCTGAGGGCTGGAAACTGTCAGCATCTCTTCCCTTCACCTTCATTTGTGTTGTGTCACTTCTGGGGAACATCACGATCCTGTTTGTTGCAAGGACTGATCCGAGCCTCCACAAGCCCACATACCAATTCCTATCCATGCTGGCCACCACCAGTTTGGGTTTGTCTCCGTCTACAACGCCAACTGTGATGAGTGTATTCTGGTTTGATGCCAGGCAGGTTAGTCTTGATATTTTCTTTTCTCAATCTTTTTTAACTCATTCATCCTCATTCTTGGAGTCTTCTGTGCTTCTGGCCATGGCCTTTGATCGTTATGTTGCCATCTGCTACCCGTGGAAATACTCCTCCGTCCTCACCAGTGCCAGGATAGGCAGGATCGGGCTGGCTGCCCTGTGCAGACGTGCCTTACCAACTGTCCCCCCATTTGTGGTATTAAAAGGATTGCCCTTCTGTCAGTCCCATGTCCCCTCCCACGCCTACTATCTGCATCAGGACCTGATCAAGCTGGTGTGTGCAGACATCACATCAATAACTGGCACGGCTTCGCTTTAGCCAGTCTCTTTCTGACGTTAGTCCCCATGCTCATCTTTCTGTCATATATACCGATTGCTAGGGCCATTCTGAGCATCGCGTCCCAGAGGGAACATCTCAAGCTTTGAACAACTGCCTGTCCGGTATCCTGGCAGTCCTGAACCTGTACATCCCCGTGGTTGGCTTGTCCATGGTTGACCGGTATGGCCAGCATGCTTGCCTTCTCACTCACGGTCAATGTCCACCTGCCGGTCCTTCCCATGCTGAACCCCATCATCTATGGCATAAAAATGAAACAGTTCTGCAGGAGCATCCTCATGGTCCTCTTGCCGGGGTATCCCTGTATGAGGCAAGGACAGGTCACAGCTGCGGGACGAGCCCTGGTATGACGTACCTGTGTGCCACGGGCCCAGTCAACATCTTAAATGCATGCGTCTTCCCACTGCGCATCCTCTGGGTGAAAATGCTTCCAACATTAGTGATATACCCTGTGATTCATTAGGGGCTCTGCTGACTGAGTCTACATGCAAGGATAGCTGACAATGTCTGCTCAGGTGACCAAAAGGCCAGACAGAGACCAGACGGGCAGTGACAAGGTGGGGAAAACCAACCAGGCTCATTCCTCTACACCTACTGCTCCTAAGACCATCAAAGGCGTTGGTTCAGCCATTGTCCCTGTTTGGAAACTAGAGCAATTCATCAGAAGAAACTCTCTCCAGGACACTATGCAAATTCCTGGATTATTGCCTGAACGGGTATAGGATTTTTGTGGGGTGCCTGCAGGAGAATTTGAGGATTGAACAAGAGAATTATGGAACTGTGCAGGATTTATCATGGGATGTTTAGCGGAAGGGCTGACAGCAGGGATTATTGGGAATTATTAATGGATTATTAAAGGAATGTGTGTGTTTGCGGGTATGCGCAATCCACCAGTGAACTTCTGGCCAAAGCAGAGAGCAAGGAGGGTGAGGGGTCTGGGGTTTGGGGTCTGGAGGTCTGGATTAAAGGGACCAGGGGTCTGGGAGATATGTATAGGAGAGACCAAGGGTTGGGAGAAGCTTCCAGAGAGATGGTCTGTAGTGGGGTCCCTGCACTGCTGTCCATAGAAACAGGTCTGAGCAATTCATGCTGTCGGTGTGGGTCCACCCCAGTCCACCACATTGGGGCACCATGAACATAGCCACCAAACAGGCTCTGAAAATCCCAGCCTGGAAATCCCCTGAGCCAGCAGTCAGGCTCGAGGTGGGCAGTGTTTTGACAGTGAGCTCAGATGAAAAGGAAAAAAGAAAAAAGCCCCATTTGAGGCAGTCAGACAATGTCTCAGGAGGGCAGCCAGGCAGCAAGCAGGCGTCGGGACGAGGTGGGCGTGGGGGTCGGGAAAATGGGGGCTGCTTTTGCACACTGACTCCTTTGGAAATGTCAAGATATTCAGGGAAATGCCAGTGCAGCGGAGATGTCAAAGAAAGGTTTGCCGAGGGCGAGAGGAAGACGAAAGGGCAGCGAGCACATCCACAGCAGTCTGAGCAGTGTGGGTGCTCTCCCTCTCGCCTCCGACTGCAGATGAGCTGCTGCTTCTCCATCCGCCGGGGAGAGCTGAAGTGCCCCGGGCTGGGGCAGATCTGGAAACACCTGGCTCCACAGGCGATTTTATGGGGTGCAGAAGAGGAAGGTCAGTGAATCGGGCTGTGTTAGAGGTTGCACTTCAGTTTGTGCAGCTTTCCGAAAGGATGGGATGATCGCTGGAGACCTTGCAGGACAACAGATTCTAGGGGTTGAGTATTTTCAGTAATTTCTCCCAAATCTGATTGGTTTTCATCCCAGAAATGGTGGGGTTTAGTGCAGGTGGAAGCTGCACACACAGGTTGTCCAGGAAAATGTGAAGAGGCTGAGGAATGCTGTGCCCAAACCGATGGGTTGAAAACGAGAAGGCGGCTGGTCTGCAAAAGACTGCTGTGACCCAGGTCGTTGGATGAGAAATGTTTTGGGGACGTTGTTAGAGCTGAGGATGAGACCGGCAGCACGGAGGGGATGATGAGCACAGTCTTGGCCAGGCTGTGCCCCGCAAGGATGGCCAGGAGTGGAGCCGCAGTGGTGGCCAGGGCTGCAGCGTGCCGGAGCAGGAGGGGATGGAGAGCCAGAGGTGGGCAGCTGCCAGTAGGGAGAGAGAATTTGGTAGCAAGATGAAGAGCAACTTCTTGGTCTCAGCTCTGCCCCAAAATACCTTTCACTCTGCTGTGATCTTTGGCTTTTGTCTAGGGCTTATGGCTTTGCCCAACCAAGAGCTCTATAGACATGTACAGGAATATTAAATTTCCTCTGGGGTCCATGGTAATTATTTCAAGGAAAGCAGCAGTGCCACTGAACAGAGCTACAACTTTTTAAAGATCTTTATTCTGTAGGGGTTTTATTTGCTTTTTTTTGTTTGCTTGTTTGTTTTTTGGAGTTGAAAGCACTAGACTTCAGCAAAGTGGACTTGGTAAAACTGAGATAGTGATATCTCATGAGGAAAATGTCTAGGAGCATATTTTTTGGGATGCTATGCAGTTCATTAAAGATGCAATAAAAAGAGCATTTTTTTTTTTCAAACCCTGTCAGTAGAATGAATAAGCAAGAAGGACTCTAAAAATCATCATGCATAAATCACCACCTTTGCAGTGAGCCCTAGCATGAGAAAGTAAACATGAGCTTTTGAGCTTGGTCAAACTAGGAATGATTTACAGAAAGAAATAGCAAGAGCATATAAAGCAAAAACAGAAAGGAAGGGGAAGGCAAAAAGAAATTTGCATTTAGTTAGACACATAGATTAATGTAAGAATTGCTTTGTTATTCAAATGCTAGGGAAGCATATTGAATGATGAATGATATGAACATGCATGACATTTATCAATTTTTTAAATTACAAATTATTTTTCCCTGAAATAGTCTAAAATCAGCAGCAAAGTAAGAAATCAGGAGAACCAGGAAAAAAAAAAAGTTTGAAAGTTAAGAAAACAGGTGGCTTTAAATTACAAGGGCAGTGTAAGGGCAGGGTGACGTTCCCCTTAGAGCACGTAGAGAGCGGGCAGGAGCAGTCCAAAGGTTGTTGGCAGATATCTATGAGAATGAACGGAAGATAAATGAGAAAGAAAACCGGGCTGGAAGAAGGTAGCCCTAGGGCCTGACTTCAGAAAGGTGGAAAAGGGTGAAGAAGCCATAGGGAATTAGAAACCAGTCAGAGTAACATTTATTTCCTGAAAAATACTGAAACAGACAAACCAAATATTTATGGAGCACGTATGGCGTATCAAGGAAATAAGTAGCAGTGACCATGAATTTCTTAGGAACAAATTGTGACAAAGCAATCTAATTTTTCCCTTAGATGGGGCAACACGCCTTGCTGACAGGGAAGAAACAGAAAATTAAATCTACCTTGACTGTAATTATGCTTTTGACACATTTCACATAATATATTCAGAAACAAGAAAGGGGAGAATGATCTAAATGAAACCACCACAGAGTGGAGGCAAAACTCATTGGAAAAAAGACTTTTTCAAAGAAAAGTTATCAATTATTCATTGTCAAAGATGAAGCAAACAGGGATTTGAAGGGAGCTATCTTATTTCTGCAGTTATTCACTTTTTTCGTTAATGAGCTTTTAAGAAAATAGAGATTTCTTTGGGTCTGAATGTAGTCATTGTTATGTCACTTTGGGTACATAGATCTGATCTTGCTTACAAGATCTGGCCTTTAATCAGTGTATTCCATATGAATGTACCAGGCCGACGTCTTCTTTATTATTCTGCCTGACTATTTAAAATTTTGTGTCTAACTCCAGCATCCTTCTGGCGATCGGATAGGGATACTGCTTATTAATTTGTCAGTGAGAACAAGGCAGGAGGGCTGAAAGTACAATGGGGAGAAGGCTGAAATTCAGAACTGTCCTGACACGCTGGATGTGAAACTAGAAATACAATTCACGCTGTTGGGCTGGTAGGAATGGGAGGATTTATGTCAGTAAACACTAGTACCAAACTGGTTAGTCTGGCAGTAATATTAACCTACAGGGGGTTTTATATTACTTTTTCACAATAGAAATAGAGTAGCACCTCTGTAACAAAGCTTTGGGAAGTACCAGAGATGACAAGGCAAACATTAGTCAACAATGTCACGCTTTGCTAAAGTAAACAAGAAAATAAAACCTAAAGTGAAGACTATGTCAGAAAGTATGAGTAGGAGTGTTGTACCCAGGGCACGCAGAGTAGCACTGCCGTTCTTCTCAGCACCAAACCCACAGGTGGGGGCACCTTCTGTAAAGGAACACAAAGACCCGTTAGCAAAAGGAGAGCAACAAAATCATTCAAAGTCCACAGAATATGAAGCATGATGACTCCTTTCATGCGTGACATTTTTTGGAGAGGTATGGAGGTGCCATCCAGGAATGTTAGAACAGATTTACTAAATACCCTTCTGGGTTGGTTTGGGTAAGCTGGTGCCTTTTAGGGTGGCAGATGGACTACAAGATCTCTTGAAGTTCCTTCTATTCCTACTTTTCCTGTTTCCATTGAAAATTTCACATTAGATGTATATTTTACACCACTGTCCTATGCACCTTATTTGTTGTGTGTGTATTTTGATATTCCTTATCTACATATAGGATAGCATCTTCTGCCTAGTGAGATGCTGATTTCCACTAAGCAGTGATATAGGGGTTTGAATTCTTTGGTATTATTTCAGTAATATTAAATATTTGGTTCTTGGTAGAGACCCACCATCACTCTTGGCCTTGCTGTATTTTTGTCAGCAAATTGCATAGGCAGATTGGATTTCTCAGCTGCTAAACATAAAGGTGTATTTGTTTGTTTATCTTGAACATCCTGGGTTTAAGCCAGACTTTGCACCCCATGAGTCTCTCACCCAGGCTCAGTCTGAGGACCCGACTGACTTTGAGCAGAAATGTTATTACAGTAATATTATGTGTTGTTATTGGATGCACACAGAGTTTCCCATCGGAAAACCCCCTGCAGACAAGGTATCCCCTTCTGACCCCTCTCTCTGTGAAGCCATGAGGACCCCTAAAAGCACAAATGGTAAAGTAGAGAGGGGTAGTAGCTGAGTGGGATCAGAGGCTGTTATTTACATCAGCACATTTTATAGAAAGAAGGCTCTTCTGCAAGCTTCATCTTCCAACTACATCCTTGGGGCTAATAAAAGAGATTATCTCTCTTCTGAAACAAAAGGCAGGGTCAGCCGGCTAACATCTGATAAAACCACATTTTTCAGAAAACTGCGTCATTAATGGTTGTTGTTTGCTGGAGGTAAAAATGGCCCAGCATTAAAGCAATCAGCTTTTCAAAAAAATTATACATGACCATTTTCTAATACTGAATCCATTGCTCCCAATAGCAAAACTGTGTCCTCCTGATGAATGAAGATGAAATAATTACTGATGTGGAAGCTATCCTTTTCTAATGGGTGAGT